GTTCAAGTGGAAGTGATTGGGTCACTATTAATTATGCGGGTTGAGGATAAGAAGGTCGAGGCTGATACTTTGTCCTGGGTGAGTATTGCAACTTCCCTCAACTTTTCAATACAACATAAAAATGAACGGTGAAATCAATATATTGAACGGTAAGCACTTTTTTGCGTTTATATATATATATATACATAAGACGTGTCTCCATTTTTGTCTATTATGTTACAGGTTAAGTTTTCAAGTGTTAGCTGGACCCATGATAACAAAGGTTTTTTCTATAGCCGCCTATGAAGCACGGACACGGACACGGACACGCATACGGACACTGACACGGACACGGGACACGTCAATTTTTAAAAAATGGGGACACGGACACGGCAGGGGACACGGCAGATTTTTTAATTTTTTTATAAATATTTTTATTTTAATACATATTAATTATTTTATTTATTTATTATATTTTTTAAATAATATGTTCTAATTAATTTTTTTATTTTATTTTATATACATATTTATTTATTTTTATTAATATGTATAAGTATAGATAATATAATAGTTATATACTAATAATAACTGTGGCATCCTTTATACTATTATAATAATAATACTTTCAGTTATTATTATAATATAATAATAATAGTTATATTATATATATATATATGAATCCAGCAGAGCAGATTATAATAATAGTTATATATTATATACATATATGAATCAGCAGATTAAAGAAGACGCGACTGAGAGAGAGAGAGGAAGAAGCGATCGATCGCAAGGGAGAGAAGGTGAGAGAGAGAGCTCGTTGAAGTCGAAGGGCGACTGGATCGTCGAAGTCGAAGGTGATGGAGGTCGCCGGCGAGTGACTGGACTGGATCGAAGTCATGAAGGTCGCCAGCAAGTCGACTGGACTGGATCGAAGTCCAGGTTTGTTTCAAGACCTTTACTCTTCTCCTTTACTCTTCTTTTTGGCTCTCTGTGTCCAGATTTGGACACGCGTGTCCAGATTTGGTGGACACGCTTGTCTCCGTCGTGTCTCCACCGTGTCCCCTGTAAAAAAATAATTAAATTAAAGGGACACGCCACCCGGGGTGTCCCGTACGTGTCCCCGACGTGTCCCCGTGTCCCCGGCGTGTCCCCGTGTCAGACACTGCCACGGCATGAAATCTGCCGTGTCCATGCTTCATAGATAGCCGCTACCCAGCTCCCAAGTAAGTAAAATAATGGACATGAAAAGTAATATTCACTTGGATGTCTCACATTAGTACTAGGGTGTGAAAAAGTTTGATAAGTTTGGTCCTTTCTTTTTCTTTTTTCATTTTTAGCAATTTTTTAATTTTAAATTCCTGATGTTTGGCCTGTTGAAGTGTATGTATGTCATTGTAACAGTGATCAATGAGATATGGTCTGAGTCACATGAGGTTTAGTTAGGATGCTGCTATATGGATTGATTTGTGAAATTTTCACCTGTAGTCTCAGAAAATCTGGCCTGAGAAAAAGAATTTTGAAAAAGGAAAAAGAATGATATTTGGGAAAGTAAAGAAAAAATAACAGTGATGGCAATAGTTTTGTGTTGCAAGGACAGAAAAATCGGATGCTGGGACGGGGACCAAAGCTAAGACATTTGTTTTTTGCTCATTTAAGTAGATAAATCCCTTGCAGTTTTTAAAATTTTGAATGTTTGGGGAAGATGTTGGATTATATGTGGTTTTAACATGCACGGAATGAATTATGGTCAAGTTTCTTTCGGTTTATTTAGAATACTTTTGTAATTGGTTCCCTTAATCTTCACATGTAATCTTAGCAATTCTGCCTGAGAAAAATAGTTTAGTTTACAGGATAAAAATCATCTGTAAATCGTGAATTTGACAACCCAAAGACAACGATGGAAAGTGTGATGTTTGCAGAGAGCGTGAAAATTTGGATGCTGGAACTGAGACAAATGTCAACTTGAATCATGAGGTGTACTATCATCTATGAAGCACGGACACGGACACGGACACGCATACGGACACTGACACGGACACGGGACACGTCAATTTTTAAAAAATGGGGACACTAATCTTCACATGTAATCTTAGCAATTCTGCCTGAGAAAAATAGTTTAGTTTACAGGATAAAAATCATCTGTAAATCGTGAATTTGACAACCCAAAGACAATGATGGAAAGTGTGATGTTTGCAGGGAGGGTGAAAATTTGGATGCTGGAACTGAGACAAATGTCAACTTGAATCATGAGGTGTACTATCATTTCTTGGGTACCGATCAATCTGAAGATATTTTGTGTTGGAGAGATTCTGAAAACCCAAAGTACTCATTTGGCACTAGTGTAACAGATGATGGGAAGGTAAAATGCTTTCTACTTGGAACATTTTGTAGTTTGTACAGTTAGGTGGGGAGTAGTTCTGATATTCTGGTGCAAGTTTTAGTTTCCATTTTCTTATGGTGCTTTTGTTGAAGTAATGTGAAAATCTCATAGATTGGAACTAAATGGTATGTATTTTTTTTTGCATTTTGCATAAATAAAACTCCCACTCTACTGCCCCAAAAAATCACTAGATTAAACATAATCGGAACTATTCTTTGATTGTCAGAAAAACTATTTTCAGCTAGTAGAAGCTGCAGTAATTGAGATTCTTGTATAGCTTTTGGACTTTCGGTTTTTGTTTTTCCCTATTGTTGTTAATGTATGTCAAGATTTTGTGTTTATATCAGGTCAGGTGAATTCTTTGAAGGAAAAATATGGAAATTTATTGTCATAGCTCTAATTTTGGAAATTGCTCTTTAGTACAAGTCAACTTTGTATAGATGTTTGAGAGACTTTGATGGTAACACCATTCTTATTTTCCTCAAGCAATGTAAGCGTAGTGAAATTTTATCTTATCGTCTCTCCTCACCTTCATCATTTGAACCATGTGGATGGCCAGGAGACTTGCTAGATTAGGGTCCTACCGAGTCTATTAAAGTTTCAAAATGTAGTTTCTCTTCCATGTAGCTTAATTATGGCTGTTCAATTTAACATTTTTATTTCAAGTGCATTGATCATGTAGGCACTCTTCAAAATTAGGGGTATAATCAGTTTGGTTCAGTCAATGTTTAGGGAGAATCTGCCACCGAACTGAACCTTTCGGTTTTCTATTGGCATACACCAAAACAGGCCAAGCAGCTTTGTCAACCGAACCAAACTGTTGTGCATTGAACCAGTTCAGTTCGGTGCAGTACATTTTTATTTCAAGTGCATTGATCATGTAGGCACTCTTCAAAATTAGGGGTATAATCAGTTTGGTTCAGTCAATGTTTAGGGAGAATCTGCCACCGAACTGAACCTTTCGGTTTTCTATTGGCATACACCAAAACAGACCAAGCAGCTTTGTCAACCGAACCAAACTGTTGTGCATTGAACCAGTTCAGTTCAGTGCAGTTTAGTTGGTTTGGGCTGCTCAAATTATTAAAATAATGGGAAAAAGATGAGCACACCTTTGACTACAGATAACAGTAGAGAAGTAGAACTACAAAGATTAATAAAAATCCAGGGAAGTAGAAGGCAGCACAAATTCATGTTGCAGGATTTGCATTTGTCTTTGACAAAAAAAAAATTACATTAACCTCTTGGAAAATTCTCAACATGCATGTGTTCTTCAACTGAATCTATGCATTAAAATGAACATTCAGTCATTTTTTGGTTCGATATTTACTTTTGTGCAGTATCTTCTTCTGTACACTGCGGAGACTTGTGAACCAGTCAATAAAGTTTATTACTGTGACATGTCTGCACTTGCTAATGGACTTGAAGGTTACAGGGGAAGAAAGGACCTGCTTCCCTTTGTTAAGCTTATTGACAATTTTGATGCAGAGTATGGCACCATTGCAAATGACAATACCATCTTTATCTTTCGAACTAATAAGGATGCTCCAAAATATAAGCTAGTCCGAGTAGATCTCAAGAAGCTGAAAAGGATGTGCTTGAATCAGCTGTTGCTGTTAATGGTAATCAAATTCTATTGAGTTACTTGAGTGATGTGAAGTATGTTCTGCAGCTCAGAGACTTGAAAACGGGGTCCATTCTACACCATTTACCCCTTAGTTGCACGAAGCGGGAGCGGGGGAGCGTGAGCCGATAGAAGTTTCTTAGGTTGGGAGCGTCTCGGGGAGCGGTAATATATGTATATTTTAATAGTTATTTTTAAAATATGTTTATTATATAAAGGTGATTTAAATAGTTATTTTTAAAAAATAAAGAATAATAAAATATGTTAAAGTAAATAAAAGTTAAAAATTAGATATTTATTTTATAGATTTGATTTGATATTTTTTATTATATTTGATTTAATTAGATTTATTCTTATATAAAAAATTATATTATTTATTATATTTATATTTATATAACAAATTATATTATTTATTATATTTATTATACTCGACGAACAGAACATAAATCGAAGAAGGGAGACAGAGAGAGAGGGGAGGGGGGAGAGAGCAGAACATAAATGGCGATGGCGATGGCGATGGCGATGGCGATGGCGATGATCGAAGGCGAGGCAGATCGCGAGAGCAGATCAAAGGTCCAGGAGCAGATCGAAGGTCCAAGCGATGTCGAAGGTCGACATCGATGTTGAAGGAGAAGCGACAGTGAGTTCAGGTTTCTCTCTCTCTCTCTCTCTCTCTCTCTCTCTCTCTCTCCCCCCCTTGCGATCCCATCTTGGACTGGATCGCGTTTCTCTCTCCACAGAAACGCGATTCCTACACGTTTCTTTCTAGGAAGCGCGGAATCGCGTTTCTTAGGAAGATTCGTCACCTGTTAGGACGATTCCTGCAACTAAGATTTACCCATTGACATTGGCTCAGTTTCTGAGATTTCTGCTAGGCGTGAAGACAGTACAATTTTTATTGGGTTTACTAGCTTCCTTACCCCAGGTGTTATATACCAGTGCAAACAAATTATATTATTTATTATATTTATTATACTCGACGAACAGAACATAAATCGAAGAAGGGAGAGAGAGAGAGAGAGGGGAGGGGGGAGAGAGCAGAACATAAATGGCGATGGCGATGGCGATGGCGATGGCGATGGCGAAGATCGAAGGCGAGGCAGATCGCGAGAGCAGATCGAAGGTCCAGGCGATGTCGAAGGTCGACATCGATGTTGAAGGAGAAGCGACAGCGAGTTCAGGTTTCTCTCTCTCTCTCTCTCCCCCTTGCGATCCCATCTTGGACTGGATCGCGTTTCTCTCTCCACAGAAACGCGATTCCTACACGTTTCTTTCTAGGAAGCGCGGAATCGCGTTTCTTAGGAAGATTCGTCACCTGTTAGGACGATTCCTGCAACTAAGATTTACCCATTGACATTGGCTCAGTTTCTGAGATTTCTGCTAGGCGTGAAGACAGTACAATTTTTATTGGGTTTACTAGCTTCCTTACCCCAGGTGTTATATACCAGTGCAAATTGGACACTGGTGTTCCAAATATGAAGATATTCCGAGAAATTGTTGTTCCTGGATTTGATCGTACAGCATTCGATGTTAATCAGGTCAGCACTTTAGTTGTAGGAGAACATTTGGTTATCTTTTAATAAATTTTCTTTTGTTTTAGTTTGGAATTTTAGTCTCATTTTGGGTGATAGGAACATATGTGGGCATTAATTTTCAGTCATGGTGGTCATGCTACTATTCTAGATGTTTCCTTTTGCTCCAGTTTTAATTAACTCAGGCCTTATCACCATTTTGCCTTGCTGCACAGCATGCCTCCCCCTCAATGTGTGTTGAAAAAAAGAAGAAAAAGATGCCTATCTTGACTCGGTATGGTTCTACATCAATATCCTCATTAAGATGTCTTAAACTATGCCTAAGAATGCCTAGGATGGGATGAGAATGCAAAGATGCACTTTAAAAGCATTTTTAGGATTTTCAGAAAACAAGGGTCCCGCTCGAGCATCGATTACTCCGCTCGAGCGGACATGCAGACAAAGGTTTCCGCTCGAGCTCAGACTTACCCGCTCGAGTGTACTTCAAAACAGTCAAAAGTGCTGGATAGGTAAAACTCACGCTCGATTGGGCGCTCGACACCCGCTCGAGCGTAAGACACAATATCCCGCTCGAGCGTCAATTCTTCCGCTCGAGCGGACTTCAAAACAGTGCAAAGTGCTGGGAGCAGGAATTTCACGCTCGAGCGCCAATCACCCCGCTCGAGCGTGAGTTCAAAATCTAGAATTCCCAGATTTGAACCTCATGCTCAAAACCAAGTTTTAAATCATGAATTTTGATCCTCTTGGGCTAATTTGCTAGAAAACATTTGTAAACTCATAGAACAACATGTTTCAAAGGTCAATTGTAAAACCAAAGCCCCAAAGGAAGATCAATTCAACTCAATTTCAAACCAAATTTCAAGAACATAACTTCAATTGAACATGCAAGACTTTAAACAACTTTCAAGCTTCAAATAATTGCTCTAATGAGCCAATTGTTCCAAAAACAAGATGAATTCATGAACCTTAGCTAGAGCTTCAATTACATGCTCTAATGAGCCAATTTCTTCTAAAACATGGTAAAATCATGAACTATGATCAAAAGATGAACATGTATGAAGCAATCTCATGAACAATAACTTCAAAACTCAAGAATGGCAACATGCATGCATGAAATGAGCTTCAATTCAACATAATAAGGCTCAATCTAGGCTTAGATCACTAAGGACACAAGAACCATGCATGAATCAATTCAAAAACAAGTTTAAGAAGGTGGATGTTCTACCTTAAGTCTTGTATTCAAGTGTAGAAACTCAATTTGTACAAACCCTCTACAATTTCTTCAAGTTTCCAAGCAAAATTCAAGATGAACAACTCAATTCTCTCACTCCCTTCTCTAAGCCGGCTATGATCTCAAGGAATGGCTAAAGAAAATGTTTTGTCTAAGTGTGATAAGGCTCCAAACAATGTGTAGGTAATGGCCCACTATAATGGCAAAGTTGTGATTAAGTCCAAGTTTGCAATTTATCAATAATTAATCTAATGTAAACATACCAAATCACATTTTAATTAAATATGCCATAAAATCACATAAATTCTAATGATCATAAATCATCAATCAATTTCAGATTCGGCCGCTGATAAGGCCTTCAATTTGCAGTTTAAAGCATAAAACATAAACAGATAATTAAACAGTCAAACAGATAAACATACATTTAAACTAGTACATTCAATCAATCAGTTCAGTATTTCAGTCGATTCAATTACTTATCATAATCAGTCTCAGTTTAGCAGTAATCAGTGGGGTTATCAGTAATCAGTGGTGAGGGTTATTACATGTATGTACGGTATTTGAGGGGTAATGTGTATGTATTGTTTTCTTTATCAATATTCAATAGCCAACAAAAGCATTTATGCCTCATTCCCATAATTTAACAGGAATTCAAGTTGAATGAGACAATAAAAGTTGGTTATATCAGATTTTTGGAAAAACAATGTTGTTTTATTGTTATAAAAGTATGTTTTTGTGGATGTTGCAAATGGTTACGCTACAGTTTGCTTTTATGTTATTGTGGATATGAAGGATGGATCTTATAAAATTATGCTTAGGGAATTATTTTTTTAAGTTTATGGGAATAGGTTGTTTTTATTGAAAATACTTAATGTCAGTGAATGGTATTATATGAATTTGTTTCCTTCATGCCAAGGCAAATACAAGATGCCTTCATTACAAACTCGAATAAGAATACATTCATTCATCAACATGCAAAATATTGCATTCATTCATTCACTTCCAAACTGTTACATTCATTCTAAGGCAAGGACAATAAGTTTCCCATGACCACTGCCTTATACAATCGGAATAAAATCCAAGAAAATACAATAACCAAGCAAAAAAATTTCGAGCAACACACCAAAAAAAAAAAAAATGGGGGTCAGGGAAACCTGATCCCTGTTAGGGGGCAGGGGCGAAGAGTGATGAGTTTCCCACCAGGGATAGGGGGCAGGGGCTGGGAATTTTATGGCTTCGGAGATCGGAGACGGGGAGCGTAATCCCCAATCTCACCCCGTTCCGTTGCCATCCCATTAATCATTCAATTCCATTTCCCATCATTCTAATACCACCATAAATTTTTTAAACGATACTAGTAATAAGTCATGCATGAACTCCTCAAGGAACTGCATTTAAATCTCAAATTTTGAGGGAAGAGAGAACAAAGGGAGAATAAAATCTAGTAAAAAATCAGTAAACAAATAATTTTCTCATAAATGCCTATTTATTTTTGTTTTCTTAGTCCAACCAAAAAAGCAGGGGGTAAAAAATCCGTTTCCCCCATTTTCCTTCAACAAATTCAAGATCCAAGCATGTGATTAATGTCATATGATGAAGAAATACTGGGCAATCATTCAATTCATTCCTTGTTTGCATACACTCATTCGCAGTTGGAAAGGCAATCCAAGCACGAAAACCATTTTCGTTGGCTTCAAGCATAATGATTAATGTTATATAAGAAATACATGGCGCAAAAGAAAAACATACATATAAAACTCAATTAACACAGCTGCACCGCGACTTGCAAACCAAATGTGTTATGTCTAAACACATCCAAGTCTACACCAATGTAGAATTGAGCACCTGCAAAGTATTTCATTTCAATAATGCTTTCACAACAATCAAGGAAAAATAACCTTCTAGCCTAGGTTTTGGATTTTCAAGTTGTCAAGAAAAGCACAACAGGAGATGCAATATCAACAGTCGTTCACGGTAACTGTTTGAAAGCGAAACTTCTCCATTGGTCATGTATTACTGTTTAGAATCTCGATACATTACAATAAATGATCTGAAACAAGCAGATAAGCTATAATTAAAATCATATAAACTAAAATCTTATTATACAATGATCGGGAATAATTGCAGAAAAACAAATTTGAAGTGACACAATGTTCCACAATAATTACCAGCAACTCTGCCATCCAGAACAATTATGATGATATCAGAAACCATCCGTGACAATACAGGATAATTATGGCTTCTCTGCAGAGCCGTCTCCACCCTGAAGTCGCTGACAAAGATCATGACGAAGAACCTCCATAAATTCCTGCAAGATCCCAAAAAAGGGGAAGAGAAATAGAAGCAATTACAGACTGTGATGCAACAGGCAGATAAAAGTGCACTGCATGCAATTACAAACAATTGTTTTGAAATTGAAATGGTGACAGGTAGAGAAATGGCATAAGACAAAATAATTACACTGGCGAGGCCCTCTTCACGGCACAATTCATTCACAAGATCTTCTCCATCACTGCCACTGTCATATACTTGGGCAGCACTTTCGGCTATAGTACGAAAAATTTCTTCAGGTGGAGTCTGGTGTTCGATTCTCTGAACCATTTCTTGGAGTTCAGTCTAGAAAAAGGAAGCAATGCAACAAGAAATGGTAACGGATTTTTAAATTAAGCAACCATCAACTCAATGATATTTGATGTCAAATATTTGAGTACTTGCATGGGTGAAACGCTCCACCTCATACCAATTGGGGCAAAATAGTCGGCGGAATAATACATTTCTAGAAGTTGAGCAAGTTAGCATAGATAATACTTGCAAATCTAAAAGAAACAAGAGCTACCCAAATAGTTTAAAAAACTCCTCAATTTTCACACCAAGGCTAATCACGTCCAACACATAACAACTGGGGCTTGTAGGCTGGCACAATGCCTATATGCCATATCCAATACTTGCAGAAAAGCTTACAAGATAAATTACCAAAATAATAGACAAGGGTGAAGAATGAAACAAGTGGACTGTTGAATTACAAATTTTTCATGATCATGTACTATAATGGTCTTTCTAAGTATACAACCAAAACCAAAAAATTTCTAGACTTTCAATAGCCAACTCAACACTGTTCTAAACAAAATGCAACACTCCAACAAGTGAAGAATTGAATGAAATGATACTCAGGTAGAACGAATTGTGTGGATAAAATCCTCCCTTCAAGAATTTCAAATTTGGGACTGACAGATGGATCATCGTCCACCAAGAAGTAATTTCCAAACATGAATCCTCTTAAGGCTCCAGTCATGATGCAAACACACAATATTCTTAGCTTGCAATATAACTATGGGGATAAAGCTGCACTTCTAAATGAAGCCCAAACTGACCGTCGTCTTATGGTCCCAGCCAGAAGGAGAACTAACTGAACTCTACTTAGGTTGCTTTTACACAAATGAACAAATAAGTGTTCCAAAAAACAAATAACCCACACAAGATTCATACCACATAGTTAGGAATGTAGGTCACTGTGTAACACATGGAAACCAGTTGCTGGCTTCAAGTAATCTGTACATTAATCAATTAAAGTTCAAGAGAGGTGTGTGTATATGATGCAAAGCACTGGACTGCATTCATAGGTATCGAGATTTCAATGTCTTAGATACAGACCTGAGTATCTTGATCATTTGCTTTCTCAACACCGCTCAAATTTCTTTCATTGTACTGCGGCTGGGGATCAGGCCTGACAACTGGTAACTGTTGAGGGATTGTAGACCTACCACTGAGAGCTTGAGAAACTATGGGCATCATCTGTTGAACCATACTTGTTAGATCAATGCCACCACCTTGGCCTCTACCAAACCCTGAAAGCATGTTTCCAAGGTCATGGTTATCAAACTGTTGAGCCATTTGATTTACTGTATTCCTCATAGCAGGACTTTGGGTAAATTGCTCCAACATATTCCTCAAGGCATCAGAAGAACCAACACCAGTCTGCTCTGAAACCCCTACCAATAGACCATTTATAGCAGGACCATGAAGAACCTGAGACATAACACTTGCTGCATCAAACTGACCATTCTTTTGCGTTGTTAAGAATCGCTTTCACGTGGCTTATGCTGTTTGGGAAACACATACTTGAGCCATTCTTTTTCTGATTTTGTCTTTAGTAACTTTTTAAAAAAATTATGTGGATTTTTTTACTTTTCAGTTTGTTTTGTATATATGAATTTTAAAAATAATGTTTTTCTTAAAAAAAAATAAAAAATTAACTATTTTTGGCTTAAATTTGTCTTTTTTGAATTTTTTTTTGAAATTTTGAATATTAAATATTTTAATCAAATTATTTTATCATGATTAAGTGCATCTAAAAAGAACAAAAAAAAATTGATTAAAATATTTTAAAAAATCATAAAAAAAATAAACAATAACTCATTTAAAAATATATGTTGAAAAATCAAATCAAACTGACACTAAATTTTTTGAAATTGTTAAAAAATATTTCGTACCCAAAAAAGTAAACAAATTATGTGGGTTTTTTAAATTTTCAGTTTGTTTTGTATATATGAATTTTAAAAATAATGGTTTTTTTTTTTTGGAAAAATAAAAAATTCACAATTTTTGGCATAAATTTGTCTTTTTTGAATATTAAAATATTTTAATCAAATTATTTTATCACGATTAAATGCATCTAAAAAGAACAAAAAAAAAAATTGATTAAAATATTAAAAAAATCATAAAAACTAAAGGATAACTCATTTAAAAATAAATTTTGAAAAATCAAATCAAACTGACACTAAACTTTTTGAAATAGTTAAAAAAAAAATTATTAAAGCCGAAAATAAATCACCCAAAAAATTAAACACCAATTCACTAGTATTTTCTTTTCAAATTAAAGAGATTTTATTTTTTATACAAAAAAGTACGTCAGTTCACCAATCTGACTTGGAAAATTACAAAATGTGCACTGGGATTAAATTCATCCATGAATAAGCCAAACAGATGTTACAAAGTAGATACACTATGATTTATTGAAACATATTGGGGATGATTCTCTCAACAGACCACAACCCTAAAAATAGTTATTCATAGTACATAAACTTATTATTATATTTTGGATGATACACACCATGAGAATTTACAGAGACGAAGTCAAATGAGTGAGATCAATGACGCCAGAAAGCACTGCCTTGTTCCGTTCTTTTACCTTTACCTGATATACAACCCTGCGCAGTTTTTAATTTTATCAAAGTTCTCTTCACACGAACACGAACACGAACAAAAAACCACAACTCAGGAAGAGAAAAATTGAGCCCAGATAAAAGAAAAAAGAAACAGAAAGATCTACCTCAAGCCTTCAAGCCACATCTCCATGATCAAGGTTTCACCAGGGTAGACATGTAAAAGAAATCGTCCCGATATGTTTTTGATCATGTTTGGGTCTCCCCTGCAGATACACTTGATGATAGCCCTGACCGCAAAGCCCATTGTGCACAACCCATGCTGTATCGGGCGAGAAAATCTTTGGAAAAATGATAAAACAAAATCGAGCAAACTATGAGGGCAGATGCATGACCAATATAATAAAAACAAATATAATGTTACGATCACCTTCGTCGGCTCGCAACGCCTTAGAACTAATTCGAGTCTTTCGACCCGTTGTGGGCTTTGGTTACAGAAAAGAAAACAAAAAGAATTTAGAGAGAGAGAGGGAGCCTCGTTCGAGATAGGCTGGATCTCCAAGTTGACTAGTAATTAGCCTTTTCTGAATATATTTCCAAGCATAAAACAATACATGACTCAATGACTCTTTAAATAGATATAGTTCCAGCAGATTTGTGATATGTGCATGATCCCATTTTCTAGGGACATGAACACTATACAACCCACGACAGACTCCACTAAACTAAAACAAAAAACAGAACAACTAAAATAAAACAGAACAAAGATAATAATAATAATAAAGGACAGGTCGTGGGACACGCCAATGCATGCACATATCATCCCTCCCTGCTGAGAGCTTCCTTGTCCTCAAGGACAAAATCTGTGTACCGCAGTTTGAAGTCGGCCAAATCTTCCCATGTAGCCTCCACCGGCGAATGATTCTTCCAATGGACGAGCAGTTGCTTGCCAGTTGGCCGAACACGGGTTTCTAATATAGCTTGTGGCAGGACGGCCTGATCGGAAAGATCGATATAAGCTGGGGGCGCGCTTTGAACCACAGCTTCAGGACCAATTTTCTTCTTGAGGAGTGAAACATGAAACACGGGATGAATTTTGCAATCAGTTGGCAAAGAGAGTTTGTAGGCCACAGGACTGATTTTATGGATGATCTGATAAGGGCCAAAAAACTTGGGTGACAATTTCTGGTTGAACTGTTTGGATAGACTGGATTGCCGATATGGTTGTTTCTTCAAGTAAACCCAGTCACCGACGGAAAACTCAACCTCGCGATGCTTCAAATCATAAAGTTGTTTCATTCGATTTTGGCTCAACTGTAACCGGTGACGAATCACCCGTAACATCTCATCCCGAGCTTGTAGAGCTTGGTCTATGGCTTCAAGCTTAGTAGTGCCCGGAATATAAGTAAGCAGTGATGGAGGAGTTCGGCCATAGATTACTTCAAATGGTGTGGATTTGGTTGCACTATGGGAGGATGTGTTGTAGATGTACTCGATCCATGGCAGCCAAGTGGTCCATTCCTTAGGCCGATCTGAAGTGATACATCGCAAGTACATCTCCAGGGTACAGTTGACAACTTCCGTCTGACCATCCGTTTGAGGGTGGTATGCCGAACTAAAATTGAAATCAGTTCCTTGCAGTTTGAAAAGGGTAGTCCAAAAAACACCTGTAAATGTAGGATCGCGATCGCAGACGATGCTTTCGGGCATGCCATGTAGCTTGAAAACGTTCTCAAAGAATACTTGGGCCACTGTGATAGCAGTGTAGGGGTGTGCCAATGGCATGAAGTGGGCATATTTGGATAGGCGATCAACCACTACGAAAATAACCGTTTTGCCTTTGGATGGTGGTAGCCCGTCCACAAAATCCATTGAGATGTCGGCCCAAATCTGAGTTGGAATAGGCAGCGGGTGAAGGAGACCAGCAGGGGAGAGAGTTTGAGACTTGTGACGTTGGCAAGTGTCACAATTTTGAATGAAACTGCGCACAGTGCTTCGCATCCCTTTCCAATAAAAAACCGAGCGAACTCGTTGGAGAGTTTTATGGAAACCTTCGTGGGTGGTGGTGTGGAATTCCTTGATGATTTGAGGGATGAGTTCAGAAGTATGAAGCAGGTAAATCCGATCTTTGAAAAATAGGACGCCATTGGTATGCCGCCATGGACCCACGGCTTCACCATCATTGATCAACTTGATTAAGTGCTGTAGAGTAGGATCGGATGTAGTCTCCTCTTGGATGGGATGCAACCAGCTTGGAACCGGTTGTGAGAGAGCATACATATCACCATGATTTTGGCGAGAGAGAGCATCGGCAACTACATTATCAACTCCTTTTTTGTACTCAATGATGAAATCATACCCAATGAGTTTGGAGAGCCAACGTTCTGCGCGTCAGTGGAAATGCGTTGATCCCATAGATACTTGAGGCTCTTTTGATCGGTTTTGATGATGAATGAGCGGCCAAGAAGATAGGGTCGCCACTTTTTGATGGCGAGAACAATAGCGAGCATCTCTTTGTCATAAGTGGAGAGCTCCAAGTTGCGTCCATGTAAGGCCTGACTGAAAAAAGCAAGTGGCCTATTCTGCTGTTGTAAGACCGCACCAACTCCGGAACCACATGCATCACACTCGATCATGAATGGCTGAGAAAAATCGGGAAGAGCAAGCACTGGGGATGTGGTCATGGCGAGCTTCAGTTTTGCAAAAGCTTCCTCTGCAGTAGGTGTCCAAATAAAGTTATCCTTTTTGAGCATGTCGGTTAAGGGTCTGGCGATGCCACCGTAATTTTGAATGAATTTACGGTAGTACCCTGTAAGTCCCAAGAAACCCCGTAAAGATTTTAGAGTTGCGGGTTTCCGCCAACCTAGCATTGCTTGTATTTTTCCTTGGTCTACACTAACGCCCTCCTTGCTGATGATGTGGCCGAGATAGAGCACTTGTGATTGGCCAAAGGTACATTTTTCCCTTTTGACGAATAAGTGGTGAGCCCGCAAGGTAGTAAGTACCAAATCCAAGTGATGGACGTGGTCTTGCAAGGTACGGCTGTAGATCAAAATATCATCAAAAAATACCAATACAAATTTTCGCAAATAAGATTGGAATACCTCATTCATTAAAGATTGGAAAGTAGATGGAGCATTACTCAATCCGAATGGCATTACGAGAAATTCATAATGCCCTTGATGAGTACGAAATGCTGTTTTTTGCACGTCTTCCTGGCGGACCCGGATCTGGTGATATCCTGACCGCAGATCGAGTTTGGTGAAAAATTGAGAACCGTGGAGCTCGTCCAGTAACTCATCGATCACGGGAATGGGAAATTTATCTTTGATTGTGATTTTGTTTAAGGCGCGATAATCAATGCACATGCGCCATGATCCATCGTGTTTCTTCACCAATATGACCGGGGAAGAGTACGGACTATTGCTGGCGCGGATAATTCCTGTTGACAACATCTCTCTAATCAATTTTTCAATCTCATTTTTTTGGAAATGCGGGTATCGATACGGTCGAACATTAACTGGTGCACTACCCGGTAACAGAGGTATGCTGTGGTCTTGGCTTCTTTGTGGAGGTAGATCGATGGGTTTTTCAAAAATATCAGGGAATGCCTTCAAAAGAGACTGAATGCGTGGATCAGGAGTAGTGGACTGAGTGGTTGGCAGCGCTCCATTCATGGCATGCAATTGGAGGACCAGACATTCCTTACGCCGGCGATACTCTCGGTGTATATTTGTCTCATTTACAAATTTAGGACTAGGATTAGATAGCCCTTGCAAGCATACCTTTTTTTCTCCTAGTTCGAACTGCATCTGGAGCTTTGAAAAATCCCACAAAATTGGGCCCAATGTCTGCAGCCATTGTGCACCCAAGACCAACTCATAACCCTCTAAGG